CCCCCAAATACTGCCTGGCTTCTGAATCAGGTGTCTGTGTCTAAGACTTGATGGGGCTGGGCGGGAGCCCATGGCAAGAACCACAGTCCCTCCATCTCCACCAAACTCTCCAGAAACACAGGTGATGGGGTTCCCAGAAGTCTCTGCACCCAGCCTCCCGCCACGCCACCAGAAAAGCAAGCACGGGGACATGTGCGGAACAAGGTGGGGAGGCAAAGGGGAGGTGATCTGGCACGAAACTGCCATCAACTACTCAGGGAAACAGGAAGATCAGGGTGTAAGGTTCCGAGGAGCAGCACATTTATTCTGGGCTCTAGGGGACAGTCCGATGTCATTCCCCTCCATCACCACCAGTAACATGAGGACGGATCCTGGGCCACTGAGGCACTGTGGTCCCTGGCTCCTGGGCCCATGCTCTCCTCGGCCTGCGGAGAGGCAGTCTGTGTCAGAGGTAGAGATGGCACCTCCAGAGGGTACCCGAGCTGGGTAGATGCCTGGGCCGAGAGCAGGAAGAGCAGGGAGCGAGGTTGTATGTCCATGAGTCCAGCTGGAGCTTTACTTGCTGCCCGCCATGATCTTGAGGTACTGCAGGGCACGGCGAGCAGCCTCGCCACGAGCTGCCTCCCTGGTGGCTGCAGAGCCGTGACACACGGTGATCGGCTGTGTGGACAGCTCCACCAGGCACTGGCAGAGCCCACTCAGGCTCAACTCCTCTGGAGACCAAGAGAGAGGAGGAGGCAGTTTTGGGTGGCAAGGCAGCACCGGGGGTGGGGGGCTGTGATCCGTGCCACCATCATGCCCTCCCCCCACTCCTTATACCCATGTGTACTTGCTCTGGTCCAGTCCCCACCATCCCCCGGCCCCCCAACCAGCCATACCAATATCCAGGTAGCTGACATGGAAGGCCTGCTCCTCAGACAGCTCGCTGAGGACACTGCAGCAGGCAGGGCCCAGGGCACCTAAGGAGCCCAGGGAGCAGCTGCGGAGGGACAGGATCTTCTCTCCCACCGAATTGCGCAGAGAATCCCAGGTGCAGCCTGGGCCCCGGTTCCGAAGTCCATCCAGGCGAGAGCCCACACCCTGATGAGATGAAAACAGTGAGAAAGATGCGGCACTGGGCTGGGAGGCCCTGGCATTTAAGAGACATTTAATGTCCCAGGAGAGAATAGCCCAAAGAATGGTACCTCCAGCCTGCCTCCCCTCCGTCAATTCCCGTTTGATCCCCTATCCCTATCAGACCCTGGACTGGATGGCCAAGCTGCCGTTCTCATCGCAGGAACAAAAGCCTACAGGCCCCTGGCCTGCACCAGCTCCCCCAAGGCACTCACCATGTGGGCCTACAGCTGAAGCTGAACGGGAACCCCAAGAATCCTGGCTCCGATAGGAAAGTGGACAGAAGCAGGCCTGGGACCCAGAAAGGCTCACTCCCGAGTCACAGAACTGAGTCCCCAGTGCCCTGGCCTGGCAGGGGGGACGGCCCACAAGCCACTCACAATGGAGAAGTGATCATCGTCAGGTTCTGCCTCATTCCCATCCCGGGCATCCAGAGGCACCGTGTGCACGCGAAGCAGCATTTTGGCGGCCGCATTCCGCTTTGCCAGCTTTTTGGAAGTGCCACTGCCTGCATGTGGGGAGAGGGTTACGGATTATAACTCCCAACAGACTCAGTGCTTTCCACCAGGCTCAAATCTGGTTTGAGGGTCCCCTAAAGAGATACCGATTAGAAAGGGGAGCTCAGGACCTGCCTGGCACCTGAGAATCTGGTTGGCCAGAGAGGGGGGAAGACAGGGCGCAAGGAAGAAGCTAAGGGGAAAGAGCCAAGCTGGGGGTCTCAGCCAAAAGCGCGGGGCTGTAGCAGAGAGAAGCTAGGCGCTGCCTGTGGCCAGGACTGGAGTGTTGGGGGACAGTAGCTGCAAGAACGCCCTTCTGCCCAGTTACCAATCTCAACGAAGCGCTCCACTCTGCAGGTCATGGTGAACTCTTTGCGGTGGGCTGGCCCAGACTCCTGAGTCACCGTGTACTCAGGCAACCGCCAGCCCTTCTGCACCACCAGCTCCTTGGAAGGGAGAAATATGGGTGGACAGGCTGAGTGAGAAGAGTCCAAACATCCTTTCCCTCCTACCCTAGATCCCAGCCTCAGATTCCAGACTAGAGGAGGAATAAATGGGGTGAAAAAAAGCCCTCAGGAAGGGCAAACACCCCCCATAACCTTCCCCCATGGCCCCTGGTTCAAGGGAGGACAGGCATGCACAGGAAATGAGGAGGGGGCACACCTGCAGAGCACCAACAGGGTTGCACTCAGACTGCTGAGGGGAGACAGGGGGCTGCACCTCCATGGGGGGGCTCCTGAAGGAAAAAGGGTCCAGGGCCAAAGCTGAGGGGGCTAGTTTTTTCTGCTGCAGCCCAGGAGTCCTCAGCCTCGTTTTGGTTTCCCCCACTCCAAACTTCCAGCCTCCTTCCTTCCCCCTCCCCTGCAAGTGAGGTCTCCTCCAGGTCCCAGGCCCATTTCAATTTTCTGGAACATGCGATCATCACCTCGCCAGGACAGTGGGAGAGGGGCTGTATATCCAGACCCTGGAAGCACCGGATGGGACTCAAACACAGGACCATCATGGGGCCAACTCAGAAGAAAATGGGGCCTGCAAGACCCTTAACATGGGTCAAACATCATCCACATGGCCATTTAAAATCACTGATTACCGCTTGTCCCAAGAGCTTACCAGCTGGTGCAAATTCTTCAAACTCTGGTCCCCAACTACTCCAGCCTCTGTTTACTCTCAGACTTCCTCATGCCTGACCAGCCCGGGTCCAAGGGCTGGGGGCCAGGAGCCAGGACCCATTCCTCCCCCCTCAGGCAGTCAGAAGACACAAGATACCTGGTTGGGAGAGCAGATGGAACAGGAGTAGCAGCCGCTGCAGCAGTAAAAACCGGACCGTCCTCAGGCAGTGAAGAGTCTAAGGGAGAAAAAGAACTTCCCGAGGGGAAGGGAGCCTCTGATTCACACCCTTGTGGGGCGGGGACAGTGAAAGGGTGGGGGACCCAGGTCCTCCTGACCTGCTCATCCCCTAAGAAAACTCCTTCCCATTCGAGTCAAAGACTCAGGGAAGCTCAACCACCAGCTCTTCCTCCTGGGATCTTTGCTTGCCAAACACTGGATCAAAAAGACTGAGAAAAGGAGAAAGAGGGTCTCTCTACCCAAGACCTATAGGAGCAAAAAACTCCAACCTCAGTGCAGAAGAGGAAAGGATATCTTGCTAGACAGAGAAGGCAACTCCCTCCAGCCTCAGCTTCCACCCCTCCCCCTCCTTAGCCTGAACCCCAAACCACAGCCACAGTCCCTCAGTGGAGCTGGCCATTCCCCCCTGGAAGCACCCTGCTCAGGTCCAGAGGAAACTCAGGAAGAGAAGGTCAAGGTGGCTCAGTGTCACCAGGTCAGGCCCACTGGGCAAAGGGGCTGATGCAGGGGCCTGGGTTCCTGGCAGGGCCTCTAGGATGCCTCAGCTGTTCCTCCCTCACCTGCTGTCCTCCAGGGCCGGCTCCAGCATGCTCCCCCCTTTGAGGTGTTTGAGGGCCACCTCAGCTGCCTTGTGCTTGGCTGCCTTCTTGCTGGGGCCCTGACCTGAGAGAGGGGGCGTGGGCAATACTGGAGGTCACTGGAAGAGAAACCAGCATCCCACAGCCTCTCTCCTCACAGCTACAGCGAGTCAACCAAGCTCCTCCTCACTGACCTCCCCCTGTCCAAGACTGGAAGTGTTCTGTGAGCTCCCCAAATCAAGCCATGCCAGACAGAAGTGCTCCCGAGCTCAGACACCCTGGGTGGAGATTCTTTCTGGCTTACTTTCCTTTGGGAAGCACTTTCTCTCAGTAAATAGAAATGGCTGGAGAAATAGAAATAAGGTAGGTTCTAGCGTCAAAGCCTGGCTCTGACTTACTAAGAATGGGACCTTGCACCAGTCATTGAATCCCTCTGAGCCTGTCTCCTCCTATTCAACATGAGGGAACGACCACCTACATCACTGGATTAGACTAAACAGGAATTTAATTAAGCACCTGCTACAGAGCCCAGCAGAGCTGACACTCACTCCCCAAACTTCGCTGAGATTTCGGTTTATCTCCTTTTCCTCTAGGATGCTGACGACCGGCCAGATCACTGTGGCAATCTTGCTTGCTCCTCTAACTCTCCCAAGTCCTACCCACCTCCTCACAGACCTGTTCTCCCAATCCAGTCAGTGGCTTTCCCCCCTGAAACCTCCCCCTCCCTCACTGCTCTTGGAGAAGAGGACTGTGAAGAGACTCCAAGAAATAAAGCCAGTGGGGCCCTGTGAATGAACACCCCAGCAAGGCTGGCCCACGCCTTCCTCACCAGTGCAGCTGGTGTCGCCAACGGTGACCCGAAAGGTGAAATTAGGCTGGTGGGCTTGGCCCTCGGCTTTGAGAAGGTCGTACACGGGCGTCTTCCCTATTCTGGTCCCATACTCCTGCAGAAGGCTGATCGGGGTCTTGCCTGGGTTGGCTGCCAGCATTTGCTCTATACTGGGGGGAGGGGCACAGACCCTGATCACACCTCCCCTCTCTGCACCCACCTGGCCAAGCACGGCTATAACAGACCCAGGCACACTATGGGGGTCACAAGGTCCAGGGGACCCCAGGCAGTACAGCAGTCACAGGCTAGGTTCAATGTGTAGAGGTGCAGGCTGGGAAAGCAGGGTCCACTGCCCTAGGGCAAACGGGGAATGCACTGTTCCTGTCT